GGATGTTTTGCTGTTTAGCTACTAGAATGCTCTTCTAAGCTGAAGGCTTTTGCACCAAGTTCTCGCACATCAACAGCTATGGGTTCCTTGTCAGGCTTCACAGAGATCCCGGATCTCACGCCCCTCGAGCGTATCGGACCCAAAGGCTACCTTCGATATGTCTTCCCTTTCCAGCTCCCCGAAGATTACAACCTCGATCAAGCTGCTTCTATTTTGCGCGCAGGGTATGAAGCCGCGCAACAGCGTATCGCTGTTTTGGGGTGTGAAGCCGTCCCAAACCCAGATGCCAAGCAAGCCGGCGTCTTGAAGCTTCAGAAACTTCGTCATGGAGACATTGAAGGCATCACTGTCAAGGACCTTCGAGCTCCCGGTGCGTTCCCCATGACGTACTCGGAGCTCAAATCCAAGAACTTCCCAGTGGCTTCCTTTAATGCAGATACTATCTGCCGGCGCTCGGTATGGGCAACACCAGACGAAAAGCTGCCCGTATCTCTTCCGCAAGCCAACTTCATCCAAGGGGGCCTGATTCTATCCTGGTGCATCTTCCACATGTTTGGAGACGGGAAGACGTTCCTGATCTGGACCAAGATCTGGGCAGAAGAGTGTCGCAGAGCCCAGGGCCTCGAGATCATAGACCCTTTCAAGCTGGATGAGGCGTTCCTCAGAGACCGTCAACGCATCATGAGCCCAACCGGCAAGAACCCGGGCCGTGCTGAAGACCACCCAGAGTACACCATCATACCCTTCACACCCGAGGGCATGCCGCCAAAGATCCTTTCCGAAGATCACCGCGGCCAAATCTTCTACTTCTCGCCCGAGGCCCTGGCCAGACTCAAGGCCGAAGCATCTCCAGAAAATGTAACGGAACCCACGAAGCAGAGATGGGTCTCCACTAACGACGCGCTCTCGGCGCTGCTCTGGCGTACCGTCATGGCGGTGCAGTCACCCCTCGAAACCCTCGAGGGCGACCCGGTGTCAGTCTTCAACATCGCCGTCGACGCTCGCCTGCGTACGGACCCGCCGGTGCACCCGGAGACTATGGGCTGCTTCCTCGGCTACGTGGCGGCTTCGGCACCGATCCGCAAAATGCTCGGCTCGGCGTCCCTGGCTGACTTGGCGATTCTGGTTCGTCAGGCGTTGATTCGTGCCGATAGCCAGTTTGTCGATGATGTAGCTACGCTCATTGACACGGTGGAGGATGTGAACCGTATCATCCCTACGGCTCTCTTGGATGTGCCCGGTAACAACTGCATTCAGACATCATGGGTCAACTTCTCCCTGTATGACGTGAAGTGGGGGCCGGTGCTGGGCGACACGATCCAGGCCGTTCGCGCGCCGCATGTTGGTGTGATCAACGGGTTGCAGGTCGTCATGCCTATTTTGCCGGACGGTGGGATGGAGATCCTTGTGGGTGTTGAGAAGAACTGCTTGGACAGGTTGTTGCATGAGCCATTGTGGATGAAGTATGCAGAGACGAGGTAAATGGAAAACAGTAGTATCACTAGTTGGGTGTATAAATGAGTTATGTGACAGACTGCGCCAGTTATTTCTAGCTTGACTAATAGTGTTTTCTGCAGTACGGGGTGTCATATGGTGCGGTGGTCTCCCCAAAATTTTCGATGATCTCACCCAATATGCACTTGTTTCAGATCAAGACTGTACCAGACTCAAGCAAAGTCCGGAAGCTCTTGTCGTCGAATCAAAGACAAGCGAAGTTTCCGTTTGAGAATTATATCAATCAGCTTTTACACGGCTCTTCTTCGTGAAATAGCATCTCAATTCGAATATCCGCCGCAACTAGACGATACAGCTTTTGGACCGAAAGTTCGCTCGATCTCCATTCTCTAATATCCCTCGTCTTGACACGAGGACTAGTATTCCATCCGGCTCATGCCACATAGATCCTCATCATCCCACCGGCCTCTCTGGTCTCCAAAGAAACTTTTCATTCTGTTAAAATGGATCAGGGACTTTTACCAAACTTAAATCGTAATGAGATTCACTGAAAATGTTTCGAAACGGGAAGAGTAAGGCCTGGGGTAAGTATATGGCCCTTCTGAGCCCTTTTCCTTTCTTTACCGGCATTCAGCTAGAGAAGCTCGCTGAAACTCGTCCGAGTCAGCTCCCTCAACTCCTATTTGTCCACACATTAGAACCAACGTGAGTGCGCCGGGTAAAGTATCTGAACCATATTCTGCCGTAGCTGTTTGAATGATAAAATCTTCTGTCGTCAACGAATCGGATGGATTACTAACGTTTGGTGTTCGTCGTCTGAAGTTATACGAAGCATTTCGATTTGAGTGGATGAGAGGACTCAGACAAGACATGGATATGAACTCAAATTTGAGTTCACCGGGGTCCGAGATTGGTGCCGCATAAAGCTGTTGATGGCGATAAACTCAAAACCCCCTGATGGCCCCTCAACGGGCAATACCCATCGGCTCCCGCCCCCCAAAGCAGATATTAGAGATGAGGTTGGCCTTTGGTCATGTCGATTGAAGGTCTTCACTGATTGTTGTCTTCATTTTCCGTGTAGCCTCGTTAGAGGATCTTCCAAGTCACTCGTTATTGTCACTCTTTTTAACCATGTTCAGCAAAACCATTGTGGCAGTTATCCTGCTGTTCGGAGGCGTTCAATCCCACCGGCACCATGGATTCCACAGCCACAGCGAAATGCGACGCTCGTTCATCCATAACGCAAGGGCAGATGGAGAAGCAGCGAGAGGAGGATCAGACAACGTTTTCGTGAAAATTTCTCACGACCGACCAATTCTAGTTCCGTCGAGAGCAGATCACCCACAGAAACCTGTCGGAGTCGATAACAACGACAACCCCATCCAAACCAACAAGTTCTACGCCAACTTCTTTGCCAACAACCAAGACAACGCGACATGGACTCACCCTTACTCCGTCTGGTGGTCTAACGATACCGTCAAACAGGGCCACGGCTTGTCTATCTCCCATACGGATCGGCGCAACTTTATCTACGGGCCTGGCGAGCCCGTCCAGTCTTTCGAGGATCCATTCTTTGACCAATCTATTGCGCTTTCGGCGCGGGAGCTGCAGAATGGGACGGTCTTGACTACGGACACATTGACAGCATTCTCCGCCAATGTCAACCTTGCGACAAGAAAAGGCGCCAAACCGATTGTCTCGTTTCCCGTAGTTCAGGGCATGGCTTTCGTCACAGGTGTTTACAACGACGCCACCGTTCTCATTCAGTCTCAAAAGCACTTTTCAAACATCACCGACCTTCGTCTGAGTTCCAATGGACTTGGAGCCACAGTGTATGGGTGGGATGCGCGGTTAGGCGATGGATCAAGCTGGTTGATTTACATCAACCCAACTTCCATGTCTGAGAGACCAACTCTTCGGATGACTGATAAAGGAACCATTTTGGGACCAAAGCAGTTCACGGGAACTGTTCAAGTCGCCAAGAATCCAGCAGGTAAAGCCGGTGTCGACATCTTTAGCAAGGCTGCTGGAGCATATCCAGTTGGCGCCACGCTGTCGGGCTCTGTCTCCGGCAAGACTGGAACTTACACCTTGGCGTGGGAAAAGAAGGGGATAAAGGAACGGTCACTTCTCATGTTTGCTCTGCCGCATCATGTCAAGTCATTTGACCAAAAGACAGCCAGGGGTCTGACGAACATCACCTTGGCGAGTACGACCAAGGGAATTGCCACGGCTACGCTTGCGGACGAGTTCACCATGGTGGAGCCCGAGCTCCCGACGGATATGGGTTTCGACCCTTGGTCGCCTCGTCTTGGATCAGTGGGGTCCGCGGGCTCAGCGGCAATCGTTTCCGAAGACGCCAAAGCCGCAATCATTAATGCAGCAAAGATCGAGCTTGCTCGGGACATTACAACCCTGACCAACTTGACGTCCAAGTATTACGCCGGAATCGCCTTTTCGGTTTACGCCAGGGCGATTTATGCTGTCAACAACATTGCCGGAGATACTTCATTCACAGCCAGCTCACTCACCAAGCTTGAGGCTGCGTTTGATCGGTATGTCAATAACCAGGAGCCGAACCCCCTATTCTACGATGACGTGTGGAAAGGCCTGGTCTCTTCTGGGTCGTACGGCAACAACGACTCTTCGATTGACTTTGGTAACACGTATTACAACGATCACAACTTTCACTACGGCTACTATGTGTATGCTGCTGCAATCATTGCCCACTTCAACCCCTCTTGGTTGACAAAGAATGACGGCCTCAACAAGATTTGGGTCAACAATTTGATTCGTGACTGGTCCAACCCATCTACCGAAGACCCTTTCTTTCCCTTCTCACGAAACTTCGACTGGTTTCATGGCCATAGCTGGGCCAGAGGTGTGCTCGAAGCACCGGATGGCAAGGATCAGGAGTCCTCAGCGGAGGATGCTTTCTCGACGTACGCGATCAAGATGTGGGGCAAGGTGATCGGAGACGCCAAAATTGAGGGCCGAGGCAATCTCCAGCTTGCCGTGACGGCACGCAGTCTACAGTCGTACTTCCTCTTGGCGAGCGACAACGATGTGCAACCGCCCAACTTTATCGGAAACCGCGCCACAGGAATTCTCTGGGACAGGAAGATCAACCACACGACGTACTTTGGCAACGATATTGCCTATATTCAGGGCATTCACATGCTGCCAATTGTGCCGAGCAGTGCGTATGTACGAAAGGCATCCTTTGTGAGAGAGGAATGGGATCAGTATTTTGCCGGCAATAAGTCGGGATCTCTCACTAGCGGCGGCTTTGCAGGCCATGTGTACGCCAACCTCGCGATTGCGGACAAGGCTGGTGCGGTTGAAAGTTATGAGTTCATGAGGAAGCAGACTCCTGACAGCCCCTACCTGAGCGGAGTGAGTTTGACGTGGAACCTCGCTTACACGGCGGCGCTGGGAGGCAGTTTGGGATCGAACTCCACGCTGAACTCAACAAGTCGGGCGGTCTGAAGTGAATGACCGGCTATTTTTCTTGAGGTGAAAGTTGGAGTGAGCTAGGTTTGAGTTTACGAGGCCATGTCTACGTCCTCGTACACAGGAAGGGCTTCGCGGAGTTGAGATGCGATTTGAACTGAGAAAGTCAGCCACATTCTCATGTAACAATTAAGTAGAGAAGATAGCAAGAGCTTGAAACCTACGTGCAATTTTCCATCTTCTTGAAATTCGTCCCGAAAGCATCTGAATCACCTCTCGTAACAGAGTCTTGGTGTCACGATCGTAATGCTTTCCTAGTAGAATTGCTGCTAAGCCGACCTTCTTGTATAGGATGACTGCAGTAAGAGGCATCCTGTCGAGTTTGAGAATGTCCGCAGTCTTCTCCATACGCATCAGATCATGAGCAATAGTAAGGGCCATTTCAAGAGCTGCGATGGACGATTCCTTGACAAATAAAGAAAGTTTTGGACCATTACACGCCAGCCTCTTTTCGTGAAGTTCTATCAGTGCCCTTTTCTCTATTAGCTGTGGCTCCTTGACTTTCTAAAGAATTACTTGCAAGAGATACAAAGTGACCACTGTGTACTGGTGCTCAAGCCGCTTCCAGCTTATGGTCAGGGTTTCTCGGATTTTCCTTTGTATCAGCATGTCGAGCTTCCACGATTCGTGATTAAGTAGTGTCTCAAGCTCGACGGACGGATCTCTGGTGCGCTGCATGACACTCTGCAGCGCATAGAGCGCCTGGATTTCGCTGGCGAAGACCCCGTAGGTCTGAACATCGTCTGCAGAAAATACAAGCGGCTGAAACGGGCCACTGATATCAAGGTCTTGACTCCATGCGTCATCCTCTCTGGGAAGCATCGCGCCGAGTCGAGCATCGCGAACAAGTGGTGCTCGTTCATAGTTCCCAGTAGAATAAGTGTCAAGCCTATCGAGAAAGAATATAGCCCACCATACACGCATCTCCTCCTCATTGAACACCGTAGCAGGATTCAAAGATTGGCATAGGCCGGTTACATGGCCAAGACTGGCACATATCGCCAACGTGGCATACGCATCAGACACGAAGCCTCGACCCTGCTCGTATATGGCGAGCAGCAGGCCCGACTGAATGGTTTGCAAGTGACCCCTCGAATATTTCTGTAACAGTATGAATGCCAACTTGCAATTGTCGTACAGCGACGGTAAGAGAGGTTCATTGTATGGCGCCAAAGCAGAGGGTATCACCGGGGTGATGAGCAAAATGTGTAAGACAAGACTAGCAAGCTCGGCAGATGGCGTGCTCTGTAATGACGCTGCTTGTCTTCTCAAGCCGAGTGGGTTAATGATTGGAATCCATTCGTGGATCGATCTCAAGTATCCATCAACCACCATCTCTATTCCAAGGTCGAGGACTTCTAGCGTGGCGAACAAGTGTGTTGTTAGCAAGTCGTCATGATCTTGGCGTGTTGCTAGCTTTGGTCCTAGAAGAGAAAAAGAAATCGGATGTGCCTCCTTGTAATAAGAGCCGTAGTGACATATGTTATTGTGACTATGTGGTATCAGTGGTTTGAACGCCTTGTAAGACAGACATGCTTGATACTTACTCTATGCACCGGCTACAAGCCGGTAGTAGCCGATCGCAACCCTTCTTCTTTGTCGAGCACAAATGACAGGCGTTCGAGGATAAATTACTTGTCGACATACTCGCCTTAGTACAGGATCGAGTCATCTTGACAAGCAACAGATTAGGATGAGTTCGAGAGAAGTTTCGGAGGAGCCTGCAGAGCACTCCATAGCACGGGTTGTTCCTGGAGAGTCAGCTTGCTGACAAACTATTTCTGGTACTACCTATGCTAAACTAGTCCGCCGCTAGTCCGCCGCTGACCCGCCACTTGCAGGGCTAAGACCGGGCCAACCCGCCGGAGTAGTGTCGGACAAGTGGTGTGCCAGGGCCTAGTAATGCTACGGTGCCCTTAAGGGGTTACAACATTGATCTCAAGACCAAGTGACTGTCAGAACCACCTCTCGTAATGAATGTAAGGAGTCGCTACTAACTGAGAACTGGTCATAATGATTCATGCCGATGGGATTTCTGAAGACTCTGGGGCCGGTGTCATAAATAGCCCAACTTCTTCTCACTCTTACCGACATATTTCAGGCTGCACATCAACTTCATTAACTACATTGTCTGATATATTATTGCAATCTTAAAGCAGATCTCCATTCTACTATAATGTCACTTCCACAGAAGATTCGCGGCCCTTCCCTTTTCATCAGCCATGGAGCAGGCCCCCTCCCCCTTATCCACCCAGGCTTGGAGGATTTTCGGCAGCAAGTCGCCAAATTGGGTAGTAGGCTCAATGGAGTCAAAGGAATCATCCTCCTTTCAGCGCATTGGGAAACCGATGAGCCCGAGATCACGGCTCTTGCGGACCCCGGTCTCTACTACGACTACGGAACTGTGGCCGCAGCTCAAGCCCTTGTTCCACCTGAGGCCTACGAGACCAAGTACCCCATCCTTGGAAACACAACATTAGCCGCGGAAATCAACCAACGCCTCCTGGATTGCGGCTTCAGACCGGTTCTCGACTATAAGAGAGGCTTGGACCACGGTGTCTTTGTCCCGCTCAAGATCATGCGGCCCAAGGCAGATATACCTGTTGTCCAGGTATCTGTTCTCACTGGAAAGGATGAGGAGGAGGCCACAGACAAGAATCTGCGTCTAGGTCGCGCCTTGGAGTACTTCAAAGAATTAGGATACGCCATAATGGGGAGCGGCGGGTCGTACCACGACTTCATGACCATGAAAGACGTTCTCCAAGGTTCTGGCAAAATTCCCCCGGGGGCTGAGGAGTTTGAAAGCTACCTCGAATCTACGGCGGCAATTTCTGATGCAAAAACTCGCGAGGAGGCTCTTAGGCGCTGGCGGGACACCCCGTCAAGCTATGTGGCTCACGTGAAAGCCGAGGCTGAGCATTTTTGGCCGTTCCTCGTTGCAGCTTGCAGTGGCGGGGACGTTTCTGGCCAGCAGATTCTCAAGCTTCTGTCTCAGGGCTTGCCTATGAGCTTTTATGAATGGTAGGGTTAAAGCTTGAAGCTATCAGGCATGTTGAATGTCAAACGGGGAGCAAATCTTTCAAGGGGATTGTGTAACTTTCTTCACAGTCTTTATCACGATGTTAAGGTCGTTACGGTCATGGTGTCAGGTTTTCATCATGTCTTGGGAAGATCTCCGCCTTATGGCCCCCGAACTTCAGTATCAGAGAGAATAGACAGCGATCCAGGGAATTCAGGCGTCACGTTCTTACTGCGAAGTGCTCAGAAGTGACAAATGACTCCAAGCCGACCGCCTTCAGTCGGTTGGCAAAAAGCGGAGACTGCAACCATATGTGTTTGAGATACTTTAGTACCTAATGAGTAGAATTTTGGGTCTTCGTATGGTAACCAAGAAGTCTTGTTGGAATGTTGTTTCTCTTTCTATTGATTATATGTAGTATTTACCCTCCTGGGTCTCAGACTTAGGGGAGGGGGTGGAAATCTCAAAAATTCGAAGTCTTGGCTTGCTATCTGAGATACTTAACCTTACTTCCCTAGCAATGAGCGTCACGACTTGCTGAAAGGAACTAGGTCACAGGTTCCAGTAGAGTATAGAAGATGGGCCGGTGCTACTAGGATTCCTGTTTTAGAGAGTTCTCCAAAAACAGCAGCATAATGATTACCTGTGTGTAGTGAGATAAAAGTGGTGTTGATAGCAAAACCGCTCAGTCATTGTCCTCAATTCACCGAATGATCATTGCTTGTGCCTCAACCCGACAGAATGGACCACAGACCCACTGGCTTTCAGAGCGCGCCCTGCCGGTTTTCCAATTGTGAACAAAAGTAGACATGCTGTTTGTCTCTTTTCGTGTTTCATCGTCGCTTGATTTGTTAATGTCACGCAGAGCTGATTATGTGCTGTGGCCTGCCTGGCGTTTCTGCTTTTAGGGGTATTTCATGGCGATTAGCTTATTTAAATGCCGACAGATCCCACCAGAATGGCATCAACGATCGCAGCAAAGTGACATTGGGAAAAGGTTTCCATACGGGCTGTTGCAGAGGTATTCTGGACGTCTTCGTGAAAGTTTTTTGTTGTACAGGGGGCACCCCTGGCTGCCCGGTTTGCAAACAAGGGGCACAGGAAATGATCCAATCATGCTGCCTGGGTTCATGCAGTCGCCATCTGCAGCTTCGAACTAAAAGCAAACCAACGAGCGCCTCGTATCGCCAAGCTACATCTTGGCTTATTTTGGTGAGTGCTTCAAGTCCAGCTGACGCCTTCTGCCATGTGGAAAGCAAGCTCGCGCCCAGCTGAGTGACTCCCTTCGCGTTACCGTCCATCCGCGGCTATGACTGCATGAGGACGTGATGTCTATCTGGGACACCGTTGGACGCGTGATTGCTTTGGTGAGCTTGAAGCCTTAAACAACAAGATTACCTTGATTGCAAACAAAAGCAGCAGGAAGATCTTCTGCTCGTTCCAACGCCGTCCCATGCATCTTGCGTCTCAGTAAGCCGCCATGCCTATTTGTGACTTCCTTTGGGGGCTAGCTGAAATTTGCATGGCCCCGTCCGACCCTCCCGCCGGCGGCCGAGATTTGATTGACCAGCCCACAATGCAGCCGCCAGATACGGGACAACTAGCTCGCTGTTCAGGTTCTTTATTCTTAAGGATCGAGTCCAACGGATGACTTGCTGGCCCTTCGCTGTTTGTGAGAGTTCTCCAACTTTCTACCTTCCCTACCTCATTTCTTCATGGCTATCAAATCTAAAATGCATTTTTTCTCCGTAAGGCCAACGTCCAGGAGGGACTTGTGCATGATTGGAGGAGTCTTCATTACACTTGCATTCTTTTTGCGCAACCCGTTCCTCAGCCAGATACGGCAGAGAAGCGGCGCAGCAACGTCAAGCATACTGAGTGAAATTCAAAATAGGACATTAGGCGTAAGTCCAAATCGTCTCCAACCCGTGTGTGGCCAATACCAAGAACTCATTCGCATCTCGTCTCTAGTTCGAAAAAATATTCGTCGTCGGCCTACCGAGCCGGACAGATCGCCGAGATGGCATGATTTTACAGGCTGCACTCAGTGACATTGAGATCGACTTCGTCGACGGTGTTCCGGGCAAGGAGGTCTCCGACAAGGCGATACCAAAAACATCTGAGCACGATCGCTTGGGTGACGGCGCCATAGGTTGCTGGCGAGGTCACATGAATGCTCTTGAAGAGTGAGTCTTGCTTATTCATACACTTGTTTACGCCTCAGATATCTGACAAGTTCCCATAGGATCGTTCGTCACAACTTGACTTCAGCCTTGATACTTGAAGATGATGTCGACTGGGACATCAGAATTCGGCAACAGTTACACGACTTCGCCAGATCGACCCAAGCGCTTACTCAGCCTTTACTTGAAGCGCCTTCATCCTACGCCGATAGTTCGTATTCAAAGCTGTCTCGCGCAGCACCTGAGGTCGCACCCGATATTTCATTTAACCATCTGCCAGCTTCAGTCGCACCAAAGATTTCGCCCTATGGCGACGACTGGGACCTCCTCTGGATTGGACACTGCGGCATGCATTTCCCCTTCCAAGACAGCCAGACTGTGCCCCAAACTCGCATCATTCGCTCTAATGATGTGACCGTTGCTCCACGGAAGAATCTGTGGACGCTCAACATCCCGTTCACCCTGAAGGAGAAGTACCCGGATCATACGCGAGCATATCACCATGCTCAGGAGGGGGTGTGCACCCTCGGTTATGCAGTCAGTCAGAAGGGAGCACGGAAACTTCTGCATGAGGTGGCATTGAAGGATGTGAGCGATGCCGTCGATATCCTACTCAGATTCTTCTGTGAGGGCGCTAAAGGCAGGAGACCGCATAACTGCTTGACAACGCAGCCGGCTCTTTTCCATCATCACCGCACAGCCGGACCTTTGAGCTCAATGAGCGACATCGGGGACCACGGAGGCGGCTTTAGGGAAGCAAGCATGACTGATATGGTGAGATGGAGCGTGCGTTTGAACGCAGATGCGCTGCTTGAAGGAAGAACAGATTTTGTTGACCAATATCCTGACGATAAATGAACTAAACTTAGATAGACCAAAGCTACCCACTTGTCACTTTTCTTCTATATTTTATAGCAATCTTAGATACCTTACGTGCTATTCTTCTCAAAGTCAATTACATTTCCATTACCGACTTATTCGCAACAGTTCTGCGGGAAACGTCTCAACTCAAGTTGGCAGTCTCACTATTTCAGAGTAGCAGAGCTTTCCATTCGTCTGTGACCTCGAAGGTAATTAGTCTGTTGAGGCAGGCGCTGTCATCTAGGTCCATGATTGGCTATTTACTATGAGTGGTGTAGACAAGATTTCCTTCGGGACGTGATAAATGACACCGTGATATCATAATCAGTAGGGAATTTGTGATGAAGCCATTTGGAGAAAGCATGCTAGCCAGATACATTTACAGACGGAAGCGATGAGGCCATGCCACACAATCTCAAGCTCCAAATCTTGGCAAGAAGAAAATTCATAAGCTAAGGTACGCAATAGTTTTACCTAACACCTAGATGCGTGTCAAATCGCATCCTCAAACATCTGTCGTCGATCCGCTGTTAGTGCCCTAGCCTGAAATGCGAGAAGCATGATCTACCTAGGGCGTTGTAGACAAAGACGCCTCTTTGAGAGGCTTCTGTCCGTAAACAACATGGCTTTTAAACCGTCAGTAACAGCTCGAACCTTAGTCCTTGGATGTTCCAGCCAGAATGATTACTCACAGGTCATAGATGCCGTGGTATGCGCCTTCCTTCATTTCCTTCCGAACTTGCGCGGTCTCAACCAGCACCTCTTCCTTGGTTCGGCCAAGGACGCCACAAAAGACTCGTAAAGTAAATCCCTCGAGACCTTCAAGCATTTGAGCCAAGTTGAGCATACCCAAGTCCTTATAATGTGGCTCCTTAGGCCAGGGGCCGAGGGGTGCTTTGAAACGCTGGTGGAAAATGTTTTCAAATCCAGTGTCCTTCACCCAGCCTTCCAGTCTCGGACCAGGCGAGGGTTCCCGCCCGATGCTCCTCATGGTCTTCAAGAAAGTCTGGTTCCAGGGCCAAGTGGCATGCTTTTCAGTGTAAGTGCCATCGTCTGAGTAAATCTCCGGGTCCATCTCGTGGAACTCAGCCCAACCTCCCGGGTTCAAGTGACTTTGGGTCTTTGTTAGTTCAGTCCACATGTGACGATTGCAAGGAAGAGACCCTTTCCCGCAAGTGATTGGATCTGCTTGAAGCATCGACTTACTCGTAGATGTTCTTGACCAACTTGGGCCAGTCCGCTATAGATGCAGCCATAAATCGGCAAAATATAAAGTCGTACTTTGTTTGATGGACCCACGGGCTTTCGACGTCGTCGATTTCGAATCTGACATTGACAGGAACCCTGAGACAGTATCAGCGATAAAGTGGTCATAGTCAGCTCGGACAGTTAGTCATGGGCTTACCAAGACGGCTGGATAGCGCTGAGATCCACACCAATAACCTCAGCATTCTCAAATATATCGCCAATTTCAACAGCCCCTGCGAAAAGGTTTGTCAGTTTTGCGGAAGAGCGCCGAGAACAAAGAAATAGAACCCGGGCCTTACAGATACCAGTACCAGTGCCGACGTCAAGAATTTGTTGAATCTTTTCTTTCTCGAGCGGAGCAAGGAATAGCCTATTCTTGATTGCTTTGACCATCATGGCATGTGTCATGTCAAGTCTTTCCATTTCTACCTCATCGTTCGGCATTATATATGCTACATTGGTTAGCTCATATATGGTTTCCCAAATATTAAAATTTGGCAAACATACAGCCGGGTCTGAAGGCATGGTATCGTCGGCCATACTCCATAGGATAATCAATGACACTTGAAGATAGAGACGCAGTGTAATTAGAGCTGTGCACGCGGAGAGAGTTAGTCATGCTATCTCTGAAGTGATCGTGTTCGAACCCACATCCGCTCATCAATAGTTGATGCGTTGTCAGTCTAAAATATTGTTAGCAGAAGTCTACTGCGGAGACCGGAAGCTTGTGGTGACAGCTATGATCGACTTACAGTCTCTCCTTCATCTGCCTCAACTATCACATCGTTGGCAACTTGTTGCGTATCAACTGGCGAACTGGTGGGCGGACTAGCTTGGCTTTCCGCTGGAGGCGACATTGCTTGTGCAGGTGGCGTCGTTGCGGCTGGTGCAGCTGTTGCTGCTGGCGCCCCCGGGGCTCGACTCTGGTTGTCCGTCTCCTCAGCCATTGTAGGCGCAGACGCTACGATTTTGTAAGATTTTGAAAACCGAGCTCACAAGGCGGCCGATTTGCAGTCGACAGGAATTAGACGACACGGATGGATAGAAGGTGTTTCGGGGGGCCGGGCGATTGTCCAGCCTTTTTGTAATTACCCCTCCATTGTTCGTCGTCCTCTCTTTTGGTTTAGCGAACTTGGCATGTTTGCTGCAGACATCTCTGTTCCTTCTCGTTGGTGCTGTGCCTCCGAGATGCATTAAAATGGAGAAATTCTGCAGCTTGAGATCTTCAGATTGGTCGCAATTCAAGCTCGTAGAAAGCTGTTTCGTGTCCTGTCAGGGTCCGCATCATTGTTGATAGGCGATCAGGCCAATTAGGTATAACCGCTTAGTTTTCGCCGGATATCCGGCCAAATGTGAACACCTAACCGGAATAGCTATGCAGCAACTGCATGGGGAATCAACTGTTCATATGGCTTTTCAAAATTGCGATTGGCCAAAAGATCCATCAGATCTTTTCAAATTTACGGGATCCGAATCGTTCTGACTAAGGCTGCAAGAAAGGCATACGAGTCAAAAGAAAGAAGTTGTGCTTGAATAGACCTTCTTGTCAAGCCAGGAAGCCATTTAGGGGCAACATAGCGGCAGTCCGCACTTTCTGGAGCAAAAGCATCCACGTAATTCGACGTTGGCCTGATTCGAACAGACGCTCCCGAAGGAACAAGATTTCTAGTCTTGCGCATTAGACCACTCTGCCACAACGCCGTGATCCACTGAATGTGGAGTTGAGCTGTCTCCCTCAGATGCGGATCATGGTCGGTTCTCGGCTAGCAACAACAGCTTGATCATCATCCTGCACTGTGCGCCGAGGCCTTCACAAACATCGTAGGCGCATTGGTTGCTTGTAATTGAATCTGAACATCACGGGGTTTGAGGGTAAGCACCTAGGTGACTAAGTAGATTGTCCAAGACGAGATGTCCTTGAGGAGTTATCCATAATCTTCGGGCAACAAACTGGTTCCGTTTCGAGGGGCCGTTCAAACTTCCAAGCATCCTCGACCCACTTTCAGTGCCCCAAAGCCCCCACTAGAAAACATCTCGATGCCTTCTAATTAGTATATACACAGAATGGCTGGTACAGAGGTAGCTAGCTCCCAAGAGTCCAACTTATTGGTCGTGAGTACATTGAATGCCAAGGTATCGTCACGGATAGTCTTGGAACTTGCAAGCCGAAAAAATTTGCCCATCTTCATCCGATGGATCACTATCACTTGCAGGAGCAGGCAAATTCATCTCTCAAAAACTGAGACCCTTCTCATGCTACTTGAAAATGGCTACATGATAGTGATTGATATCCATAAATTCCACGGGTTTCTATTATAACATAAGTATGTAAGAGCTCATGGCACTCGCGGCAAAAGTGACGCCAGCGCCACCAGCTCCCATGCTCGTCCAAATACATGCGAGGGGGCGAAATCAGCCGGCACTGTAGCAAGCCTTTCCTACCCTTGTATGATCAAGGTAGCATCCACCAGCGAAGTTATCGCGAATCTTGATTGACAAATCTAACTCCGGCTCCCAGCCCCTCAACTCGCAGTATATGCACCGAATCCTCATGGTTACGCGGAAATGGCTCATTGGGGACTTGCGCTGGGTGTTTCTTTTCTCTGAGCTCGCCCGCAAATGGAACCTGTAAGCTGATGTTGCCCTAAACATCAATATGGCGCTAGATAAGACAGTATGGGCATGTCATCGGTTGTCCTTCGCTTCCGATTGATTGATGGACTACCTTATGCTGAAGTATCGTGCACGAAGTGACTGGTTTCTTCAGGCTGTCCAAGAACTCGGGCTGAATTTCTGGAATGCTGTGAAGATACTAATCCTCAGGGGCACCACGTAAGTTGAACCTAACTCGCAGAGGTAATTTGAGATTGTGCCCGGGTCAACTCGCCCCCGATCGGATGGGTTTTACTCACCGCTGCTGATGCAAGATCCAAGCCGGCATGCGAAATACCCATGCACTAATCTCCGAAGTGATGACTTGCACCGACCAAGTGAAAATACAGCAACAGCTGGATAGCTGAGCCAGTATAAGGAAGATAGAGAAGATCGCCCCTAGGAAGCCCTTCGTATCAGGGTTTGCTCCTCATTATCTCTGTTGGCAGCTATGCTTCCCTGACTTGAATCAGGCCTGTCATGAACGAAGCAGCTTTCCAAATTTTCAAAGAACGACAAATGTGGGAGGAGGGCAATACCACATGCCGGGATCGCGCTTATCGGCATCATAAATCGGCGCGGTAATCGTTCAAAATTGAGAGAGCTACGGGAGTGACCACCTGAGCTCTGTTGCGATCCAAGCAAGGAGTGCTTGCAGTGTCAGTTCGTCTGGCTTCTTTCCACACATCATCTGTGCATTAACAACGCAAGCCAGCCGATAAAGTTTCATAAGTTCTTCCCTTACGACGCACCAATACATGGTCCCCCAAAAGCTTTCGAGTTATTCCGTGGGGGTAATGCAGGCTGCAGCTATGCAGGTATCAAGGTGCGTGCGCCATGCCAGGGGTAAAAAGGGGGATCATTACGAGATACATACTGCGTACCTCTGCTCACACAACGACGCTATTACCAGAGATGTTTTACCAAACGGTATAAACCGCAAGAACCCGCGGATCGCGGAAAGAGTTTTTTGGTACTGGTGCCTTCAATTATGTTAGTTGAAAATGCTTGCCTGTTTCTGTGACCAAACCATTACGAACGTCCAACGCTATAGCCATGGTTCCGGAACCAATGTCATTTTGACTATCGATCATCCC